CTGGGATAAACTGGGAGGGAACTGGGAGGGAGCTGGGATAAACTGGGAGGGTACTGGGAGGGAGCTGGGAGGGACTGGGAGGGACTGGGAGATACTGGGAGGGACTGGGACGAACTGGGAAGGGCAGCAGGTGATCTGGCCGGCACTGGTTCATACTGGGAGATACTGGGATGAACTGGGGGGACTGGGAGGGACTGGGAGGGAACTGGGGGGGAACTGGGATAAACTGGGAGATACTGGGATGAACTGGGACGAACTGGGAAGGGCAGCAGGTGATCCGGCCGGCACTGGTTCATATTGGGAGGCACTGGGAGGGAACTGGGAGGGAACTGGGGGGGAACTGGGATAAACTGGGAGATACTGGGATGAACTGGGACGAACTGGGAAGGGCAGCAGGTGATCTGGCCGGCACTGGTTCATACTGGGAGATACTGGGATGAACTGGGGGGACTGGGAGGGACTGGGAGGGAACTGGGAGGGAACTGGGATGGATTGAGAGGGGACTGGGGGGGACTGGGATGAACTGGGAAGGGCAGCAGGTGATCTGGCCGGCACTGGTTCATACTGGTTCATACTGGTTCATACTGGGAGGGGCTGGGGCGCTCACCTTGCTCCAGGTGAGTTTGGGGGCGGGGTGCCCCCCCCGGGCGTGGCACAGCAGCCGCAGCCCCTCCCCCACCCGGAAGGTGGCGTTGGGGGGCGGGGCCTCGACCCACAGAGCCTGGGGCGGGTCTGGGGGAGGGGCCAGAGCGGGACACGCCCCCTTTTAGAGGGACACGCCCCTTTGTAAAGGGATGCGCCCTTCCTCAAAGAGACACGCCCCTTCTTAAAGGGGCACACCCTCTTTTAGAAGGACACGCCCCCTTTTAGAAGGGCACGCCTCTTCTTAAAGGGACAGCGCCCCAGTCCCTCCCAGTTCATCCCAGTATCACCCAGTGTGATCCCAGTCCCTCCCAGTAAATCCCAGTAAAGTCCCAGTATAAACCAGTGACTCCCTCTGTGCTCCCAGCGCCCCCCAGTCCTCTCCCAGTCCCTCCCAGTATGTCCCAGTTGCCTCCCAGTCCCTCCCAGTCCCTCCCAGTGTGTCCCAGTCCCTCCCAGTGCCCCCAATCCCCTCCCTGTTCCCTCCCAGTTCCTCCCAGTCCCTTCCCAGTAACTCCCAGTCTTCCCAGTCCCCCCCCATCTCCTCCCAGTATAACCCAGTCCCTGCCGGTCCCCTCCAATCCCCTCCCAGTCCCCCCCAGTCCCTCCCAGTATATCCCAGTATAACCCAGTCCCTCCCAGTCCCTCCCAGTTTGCCCCAGTCCCTCCCAGTCCCCTCCCAGTCCCCCCCAGTCCCTCCCAGTATATCCCAGTTTGCCCAGTCACTCACGGGCGCGGCTCCCTGGCTGCTGGGGCTCAGCTGGGTCCCCCCCAGCCACCAGCGCAGCCGCACTGGGGGGTTACTGGGAGCACTGGTGCAGCTCAGCAGCGCCTCCCCCCCCTCGGGCACCGCCCCCGAGCCCAGCACGGCCAGCTCCGCGGGGCCGTCTGCCAGTACGGACCAGTATAAACCAGTATGGACCGGTACGGACCGGTATGGACCAGTATGGACCAGTACGGACCAGTACAGACCAGTACGGACCAGTATGGACCAGTATGGACCAGTACGGACCGGTACGGACCAGTATGGACCAGTATAGTATAAACCAGTACGGACTAGTACGGACCAGTATGGACCAGTATGGACCAGTATAAACCAGTATGGACTGGTATGGACTGGCATAAACCAGTATGGACTGGTACGGATGGGTATAAACCCATATAAACCAGTATGGACTGGTATGGACCAGTATAAACTAGTATAAACCAGTATGGACCAGTATAAACCAGTATGGACCAGTATGCACCAGTACAAACCAGTATGGACTAATACGGGCTGGCATAAACCAGTATGGACTGGTACAGATGGGTATAAACCCGTATAAACCAGTATGGACCGGTATGGACCAGTACGGACCAGCATGGAATCGTACCAGACTGGTATGGACCGGTATGGACCAGTATAAACCAGTATGGACTGGTACGGACTGGCATAAACCAGTATGGAACGGTACAGACCAGTATAAACCAGTACGGGCAGGTATAAACCAGTACAGACCAGTATAGACCAGTACGGATTGGTATAGACTGGACCAGTATAAACTATTATAAACCAGTGTAAGCCAAAACAAACCAGTATAAACCAGTAGGGACCAGTATAAACCAACTCAGTCCCTCCCAGTATAAACCAGTAACCTCCCAGTCCCTCCCAGTTCCCTCCCAGTCCCTCCCAGTCCCTCCCAGTTCCCTCCCAGTCCCTCCCAGTCCTCAAAGCGGGAGCGGACGTCGGCCACGAAGCCGGAGCGCAGCGGGTCAGCGGCCTGCACCAGTACAAACCAGTATAAACCAGTATGGACCAGTATGGACCAGTACGGACCAGTACGGACCAGTATAAACCAGTACGGACCAGAATAAACCAGTATGGAGCAGTACGGACCAGTGCGGACCAGTACAGACCAGTGCGGACCAGTACGGACCAGTATGGACCAGTATGGACAGTATAAACCAGTACGGACTAGTACGGACCAGTATGGACCAGTATGGACCAGTATAAACCAGTATGGACTGGTATGGACTGGCATAAACCAGTATGGACTGGTACGGATGGGTATAAACCCATATAAACCAGTATGGACTGGTATGGACCAGTATAAACTAGTATAAACCAGTATGGACCAGTATAAACCAGTATGGACCAGTATGCACCAGTACAAACCAGTATGGACTAATACGGGCTGGCATAAACCAGTATGGACTGGTACAGATGGGTATAAACCCGTATAAACCAGTATGGACCGGTATGGACCAGTACGGACCAGCATGGAATCGTACCAGACTGGTATGGACCGGTATGGACCAGTATAAACCAGTATGGACTGGTACGGACTGGCATAAACCAGTATGGAACGGTACAGACCAGTATAAACCAGTACGGGCAGGTATAAACCAGTACAGACCAGTATAGACCAGTACGGATTGGTATAGACTGGACCAGTATAAACTATTATAAACCAGTGTAAGCCAAAACAAACCAGTATAAACCAGTAGGGACCAGTATAAACCAACTCAGTCCCTCCCAGTATAAACCAGTAACCTCCCAGTCCCTCCCAGTTCCCTCCCAGTCCCTCCCAGTCCCTCCCAGTTCCCTCCCAGTCCCTCCTCCCAGTTTGTCCCAGTTCCCTCCCAAGTCCCTCCCAGTCCCTCCCAGTTCGTCCCAGTCCCTCCCAGTTCCTCACATGTCACTCGCAGTTTGACGCTGGTGCTGGCCCCGCCCCCCGGCAGTGACGTCACTGCGCTGCACCGCAAGGTGGCGCCATCGTCTTCGGGGGCGGGGCGAAACACGAGACTGGTCCTGGCCACGCCCCCTTCGTCCTCTGACCACGCCCCCGCCAGGGGGAGCCCATCCTGAAGGGGCGGGGCCAAAGGAATGGGCAAAGGGGGCGGAGCCAAAGAAAGAGGAGGGGTTAAAGGGAGGCCACGCCCACAACGGGCTCCCAGTGCTCCCAGTTTGATCCCAGTCCCTCCCAGTCCCTCCCAGTTTGCCCAGTACCCTGTCCCAGTTTGTCCCAGTCTGTCCCAGTTTGCCCAGTACCTTGTCCCAGTGCAGGCTGGGCGCAGGGCGCCCCCCTCTGGTGACGCAGAGCAGCCGCAGCTCCTCCCCCGCCCGGACCAGTGCGGGCAGCCCCTCGATACTGGGAGCACTGGGAGGGACTGGGAGAGACCGGGGGGTCACTGGGGGGGACTGGGGGGGACTGGGAGGGACTGGGAGGGAACTGGGAGGGACTGGGAGGTTACTGGTTTATACTGGGAGGGACTGAGTTGGTTTATACTGGTCCCTACTGGTTTATACTGGTTTGTTTTGGCTTACACTGGTTTATAATAGTTTATACTGGTCCAGTCTATACCAATCCGTACTGGTCTATACTGGTCTGTACTGGTTTATACCTGCCCGTACTGGTTTATACTGGTCTGTACCGTTCCATACTGGTTTATGCCAGTCTGTCCCAGTCTGTCCCAGTCCCTCCCAGTCCCTCCCAGTTTGCCCAGTACCCTGTTCCAGTGCTCCCAGTCTGTCCCAGTTTGTCCCAGTTTGCCCAGTACCCTGTCCCAGTCCCTCCCAGTCTGTCCCAGTCCCTCCCAGTCCCTCCCAGTTTGCCCAGTACCCTGTCCCAGTCCCTCCCAGTCTGTCCCAGTTTGCCCAGTACCTTGTCCCAGTGCAGGCTGGGCGCAGGGCGCCCCCCTCTGGTGACGCAGAGCAGCCGCAGCTCCTCCCCCGCCCGGACCAGTGCGGGCAGCCCCTCGATACTGGGAGCACTGGGAGGGACTGGGAGAGACCGGGGGGTCACTGGGGGGGACTGGGGGGGACTGGGTACCGGCGATGTCCAGCCGCAGTGTGGGCTCAGTTTTGGGTTAATTTTGGGTCAGTTTTGGGTTAATTTTGGGTTAATTTTGGGTTAATTTTGGGTATTTTTGAGTGTCCATCACTCACCGGCGATGTCCAGCCGCAGTCCGGCCGTGGCCGCAGCCGCTCCGGCCGCGTTGGAGGCCGAGCAGAGCAGGAGCCGCCCGTGGTCCGAGGGGCCGGGGGTCAGCCTGGGAGGGAACTGGGGTCACTGGTTTGGACTGGTTTGGACTGGTTTGGACTGGGAGGACTGGGACTGGGCTGGTTTGCTTTGTACTGGTCCCTACTGGTTTATACTGGTCCATATTCATTTATACTGGTCGATAGTGGTCTGTACTTGTCCATACTGGTCCATACTGGTCCATACTTGTTTATACTGGTCCATACTGGTCTGTACTGGTCCGTAGTGCTTTATACTGCTTTATACTGGTCCATACTGGTTTATACCAGTCCGTACTGGTCTGTACTAGTTGTTTATACTGGTCCATACTGGTCTGTACTGGTCCGTAGTGCTTTATACTGCTTTATACTGGTCCATACTGGTTTATACCAGTCTGTACTGGTCTGTACTAGTTGTACTGGTCCGTACTGCTTTATACTGGTTTATACCGGTCCGAACTGGCCCGTACTGCTCTGTACTGGTTTATACTGGTCCACACTGGTTTATACTGGTCCAAACTGGTCCATACTGGTCCACACTGGCTTATACTGGTCTATACTGGTCGCTATTGAGCCATACTGGTCCATACTGGTTTATACCAGTCCATACTGGTTTATACTGGTCTGTAGTCGTCTGTAGTGGTTTATACTGGTCCCTACTGGGCTGTACCGGTCCATACTGGTCCATACTGGTTTATACTGATCCATACTGGTCCGTACTGCTCTGTCCTGGTTTATACTGGTCCACACCGGTTTATACTGGTCCGTACTGGTCCATACTGGTCCATACTGGTCCGTACTGGTTTATACCAGTTTATACTGGTCCGTACTGGTCCGTACTGGTGCTCACCTGGCCGTGGCCTCGCTGGAGCTCAGTTTGGGGTGGGATCCCTCGAACACCCGGGAGGAGACGTCGGGAAGGGGCTCCTCCCCTGGCCGGGAAAACACCCAAAATCAGCCAAAATCAGCAGAAACCACCCCAAAATCAGCAGAAATCACCCCGAAATCATCCAAAATCACCCCAAAATCAGCCAAAATCACCCCAAAATCATCCAAAGTCACCCCGAAATCAGCTAAATCACCCCAAAATCACCCCAAATCACCCCAAAATCACCCAAAAATCAGCCAAAATCACCCCGAAATCAGCCAAAATCACCCCGAAATCAGCCAAAGTCACCCCTAAATCAGCCAAAATCACCCCTAAATCAGCCCAAATCACCCCAAAATCAGCCAAAATCACCCCGAAATCAGCCAAAATCACCCCAAAATCAGCCCAAATCACCCCGAAATCAGCCAAAATCACCCCAAAATCACCCAAAATTCACCCCAAAACCGCCAAAATCACCCCAAAATCACCCTAAAATCACCCCAAAATCAGCCAAAATCACCCCGAAATCAGCCAAAATCACCCCAAAATCAGCAAAAATCACCCCAAAATCAGCCAAAATCACCCTAAGATGACTTGAAAATCAGCCCAAATCACCCCCAAATCACCCCAAAATCAGCAGAAATCTCCCCAAAATGAGCAAGAATCAGCAAAAATCACCACAAAATCACCAAAATTACCCCAAAATTAAGCCAAAAATCACCCAAATCACCCCAAACCTACCCCAAAATCAGCAAAAATCACCCCAAAACCACCAAAAATCAGCCAAAATCATCACAAAATCAGCCAATATCACCCTGAAATCAGCCAAAATCACCCTGAAATCAGCCAAAATCAACCTAAAATCAGCAACAATACAAAAAAATCAGCCAGTCACCCCAAAATAATCCAAAATCACCCCGAAATCTACCAAAATCACGACAAAATCAGCAAAAATCACCCCAAAACCACCAAAAATCAGCCAAAATCATCACAAAACCACCAAAAATCAGCCAAAGTCATCACAAAATCAGCCAAAATCACCCCAAAATCAGCCAAAATCACCCCGAAATCTACCAAAATGAGCCAAAATCACCCTGAAATCAGCCAAAATCACCCCAAAATCAGCAAAAATCACCCCAAAATCAGCCAAAATCACCCTAAGATGACTTGAAAATCAGCCCAAATCACCCCCAAATCACCCCAAAATCAGCAGAAATCTCCCCAAAATGAGCAAGAATCAGCAAAAATCACCACAAAATCACCAAAATTACCCCAAAATTAAGCCAAAAATCACCCAAATCACCCCAAACCTACCCCAAAATCAGCAAAAATCACCCCAAAATTACCCCAAAATCAGCAAAAATCCCCCCAAAATCAGCCAAAATCACCCTGAAATCAGCCAAAATCAACCTAAAATCAGCAACAATACAAAAAAATCAGCCAGTCACCCCAAAATAATCCAAAATCACCCCGAAATCTACCAAAATCACGACAAAATCAGCAAAAATCACCCCAAAACCACCAAAAATCAGCCAAAATCATCACAAAACCACCAAAAATCAGCCAAAGTCATCACAAAATCAGCCAAAATCACCCCAAAATCAGCCAAAATCACCCCGAAATCTACCAAAATCACGACAAAATCAGCAAAAATCACCCCAAAACCACCAAAAATCAGCCAAAATCACCCCAAAATCAGCCAAAATCACCCCGAAATCTACCAAAATGACGACAAAATCAGCAAAAATACAAAAAATCACCCCAAAACCACCAAAAATCAGCCAAAATCATCACAAAATCAGCAAAAATCAGCCAAAATCACCCTGAAATCAGCCAAAATCACCCTGAAATCAGCCAAAATCACCCTGAAATCAGCCAAAATCACCCCAAAATCAGCAAAAATCACCCCAAAATCAGCCAAAATCACCCTAAGATGACTTGAAAATCAGCCCAAATCACCCCCAAATCACCCCAAAATCAGCAGAAATCTCCCCAAAATGAGCAAGAATCAGCAAAAATCACCACAAAATCACCAAAATTACCCCAAAATTAAGCCAAAAATCACCCAAATCACCCCAAACCTACCCCAAAATCAGCAAAAATCACCCCAAAATTACCCCAAAATCAGCAAAAATCCCCCCAAAATCAGCCAAAATCACCCTGGCCAAAATCACCCCAAAATCAGCCAAAATCAGCCCAAAATGAGCAAAACTACCCCCAAAATCACCCTGAAATCACTCAAAAATCTGCCCCAAAATTGACCCCAAGATGTCCAAAATTGCCCAAAATGGCCCCAAATTCTCACCCAGGCGCAGCTCCAGCTCGGGGGCGGGGCGAGCATCGTGGGCGTGGCAGCGAACCTGAACCTCGGCCCCGCCCACCAGCGGTAGCTCCGCCCCCTCCAGCAGCTCCAGCTGGGGGGGACTGGGAGGGACTGGGTCCCCCCCAGTTTGTCCCAGTTTGCCCAGTTTACCCAGCACGCTGAGCTGGGCGGGCCGCGAGCTGCGGGTGCCGTTCCCCTCCCCCGCCTGGCAGGTGAAGACGTCATCGTCCTCCAGCGTCACCGGCCGGATCCGCAGGTGGTGCTCACCTGGGACACGCCCACCTCAGGCCACGCCCACAGGACACGCCCACCCCCGGGCCACGCCCACCCCGGCCACGCCCGCTCGGTGTAAGGCCGAGATCGCCGCAAATGGGAGAAAAATTGGGCAAAAATCACCCCGAATCGGCTCGAAATCAACGCCAAAATTGTCACAAAATTACATCAAAATTGTCCCAAAATTGTGTCAAAATTACATCAAAATTGTCCCAAAATTGTCCCAAAATTGTCCCAAAATTACATCAAAATTGTGTCAAGATTATGTCAAAATTGTCCCAAAATTGCCCCAAAATTGTCCCAAAATTGTTGTGCCAAAATTACATCAAAATTGTCCCAAAATTGTCCCAAAATTGTCCCAAAATTACATCAAAATTGTGTCAAAATTACATCAAAATTGTGTCAAGATTATGTCAAAATTGTCCCAAAATTGCCCCAAAATTGTCCCAAAATTGTGTCAAAATTACATCAAAATTGTACCCAAATTGTCCCAAAATTGCATCAAAATTGTGTCAAAATTATGTCAAAATTGTCCCAAAATTACATCAAAATTGTGTCAAAATTGTCCCAAAATTACATCAAAATTGTCCCAAAATTGTCACAAAACTGTGTCAAAATTATGTCAAAATTGTCCCAAAATTACATCAAAATTGTCCCAAAATTGTCCCACCCAAAACTGTGTCAAAATTCTGTCAAAATTGTTCCCAATTTGTGGTAAAATTGCCCAAAAAATTGCCCAAAATTGTCCTAAAATTGTGTCAAAAATGCCCCAAAATTGTGTCAAAATTGTCCCAAAATTGTGTAAAAATTGCCCCCAAATTGTGGTAAAATTGCCTCAAAATTGTCCCAAAATTGTCCCAAAATAGTGTCAAAATTGCCCCAAAATTGCTCCCCAAAATCAGCCCAAAACTGCCCAAATCAACCCAGAAGCAATCCCCAAATCATCCCAAAATCGCCCAAAATCACTCCAAAATCAGCTCAAAATCACCCAAAATCAGCCTTAAATCACCCCAAAATTGCTCAAAATCATCCCAAAATCAGCCCCAAATTCAGGACAAAATTGACTCCTAAATCAACCCCAAAACTGCCCCAAATCCCCCTCAAATCACCCCAAAATCATCTCCAAAATCAACCCCAAAACTGCCCCAAATCCCCCTCAAATCACCCCAAAATCATCTCCAAAATCAACCCCAAAACTGCCCCAAATCCCCCTCAAATCACCCCAAAATCATCTCCAAAATCAACCCCAAAACTGCCCCAAATCCCCCTCAAATCACCCCAAAATCCTCTCCAAAATCAACCCAAGAATTACCCAAAATCAGCCCAAAACCAACCCCAAAATCACCTCAAAATTGAGGAAAATTGCCTCAAAATTGCCCAAAATTTCCCCAAAATTAACGCCCCAAATCAACCCAGAATTATCCCAAAAATCAACCCCAAAATTGCCCAAAATAATCCCAAAATTATTCCAAAATTAATTCCAAAACTCTCCCCAAAATCCTCCCACCCCCACCCTTCAAATTGCATCAAACTGCCCAAAATGCCCCAAAATTTTGAATTCTAAAATCCCTTTTTTTTACTGAAAATGGCACCAAAATTCAGTCCCAAAATCCCCCAAAAATGCTCCCAACCCCCACCCTCCAAACCCACCCAAAATGCCCCAAAATGCCCCAAAATCCTGAATTCTAAAATCCCCTTTTTTCCCCCAAAATCCCCCAAAATCCCGGATCCAAATCCCCCAAATCCTCCCAAAATGCCCCAAAATCCTGAATTCTAAAATCCCCATTTTTTCCCCAAAATGGCCCCAAAATCCCCCAAAATTCAGGATCCAAATCCCCCCAAATTTCCTTTTTTTCCCCCAAAATGGCCCCAAAATCCCCCAAAATTCAGGATCCAAATCCCCCCGAATTGTCCCAAAAAGCCCCAAAATCATGAATTCTAAAATCCCCTTTTTTTCCCCAAAATCCCCCAAAATTCAGGATCCAAATCCCCCAAATCCTCCCAAAATGCCCCAAAATCCTGAATTCTAAAATCCCTTTTTTCCCCAAAATGGCCCCAAAATGGCCCCAAAATCCCGGATCCAAATCCCCCCGAATCCCCCCAAAATGCCCCAAAATCCTGAACTCTGAACCCCAAATTTCTCCCTCAAAATGACCCTTTAGCCCCGCCCCTTTGTGGCCACGCCCCTTTATCTGCACCCATTTAACTCCGCCCCTTTAACCATGCCCCTTTAACCACGCCCCTTTATGACCACGCCCATTTAGCCACACCCATTTATGACCACACCCATTTAAGGCCACATCCCTTTAGCCCCGCCCCTTTATGGCCACACCCCTTTAACTGCACCCATTTAACCCCGCCCCCTTATGACCACGCCCATTTAGCCACACCCATTTATGACCACACCCATTTAAGGCCACATCCCTTTAGCCACGCCCCTTTATGACCACACCCCTTTAGCCCTGCCCTTTTATGGCCACACCCCTTTAACCACACCCCTTTATGGCCACACCCCTTTATGACCACACCCATTTAGCCCTGCCCTTTTATGGCCACGCCCCTTTAACCACACCCCTTTATGACCACACCCATTTATGGCCACACCCCTTTATGGCCACGCCCCTTTATGACCACACCCATTTAGCCCTGCCCTTTTATGGCCACGCCCCTTTTAACCACACCCATTTATAGCCACACCCATTCATGGCCACACCCCTCAACCATTTAGACACACTCATTTAGCCACGCCCATTTATGGCCACACCCCCTCAACGCCCGGCCCCCTCTGAAGCCCCGCCCACCTCTGGCGGGGTCTCCGGCCAATCGGTAGCGAGGGTGGGCGCGGGTGGGCGTGGCCCCGAGCATGAGCCCGCCCCTGGACCACTGCACGGCCACGCCCACCCGGGCCCGGCAGCGGAGCTCCGCCCCCTCGCCCAGCAGCGCGCTGCCATTGGCCGGCTCCTCCAGGAAGGGCGGGGCCGGGGGGGAGGAGCCTGAGGGGGAGCGACCAATGAGAGAGCAGAGAGTGACCC